TTCGTCCCCCTGCCTCCAATCAATAATTTGCATATCATTATATCCCACGCTTATTCACCTTGCCGACGCTTGACATTCCCTCATTCCTATGCAAATCAGATGCAAATCAGATGCAAATCAGGCCAAACTCCAATATCAACCCCTATGAGCCCATCTCATTGCCCCCAACCCCTTCCCCGGCGGCCATTTTGAATAATCCTCCTTTTTTTTGGTTTTTTTGGGGTTTTTTTGGGTTTTTTTGGGTTTTTTTGATTTTTTTTTTTTTGTTGGCCGCCGGCTCGTTTGGCGCCTCCCCTTAACGACCCGTCGGCCTCATCAATTATGCAAATCAGCGCCGGAATATTGGTGCTCCATCGCCTACTTCGAGATGGACGTGCAGGTGGGCGAGACCTTCAAGGTGCCCTCCAGTTGTCCCGTGGTCACCGTGGACGGTTACGTGGACCCGTCGGGCGGCGACCGCTTCTGCCTGGGCCAATTGTCCAACGTGCACCGGACGGAGGCCATCGAGAGGGTCAGGTGGGCTCATTAATATGCAAATGAGGCGGAGGAATAATTAGGAGAAAACGCGGCGGGGTAATTAAAGGGGCGGTGGGGTGGAGTGCGGGGGGGGGGGGTTGAAGAAGCAAGATGGCGGCTCATTGAGGGGTGGGTGGGGAAGTGGAATGGTTGGTATGCAAATTAGCATGCAAAATATGCAAATTGGCACGCAACCGCCAACGCGCGCCGTGCCTCAGTTTCCCCAAAAGTCAACATTTCCTTCTAGAACCGAAATGTTACAGTTCGAACACGCTAAAAACACGCGTGACGTGGCGTGTGACGCGCTCGGCCACCCCCAGACCCCGATCCCGTGTTTGTGGCGCTGCGGAGAACCACGAAAACACGCCGTGCCTCAGTTTCCCCAAAAGTCAACATTTCCTTCTAGAACCGAAATGTCACAGTTTGAACACGCTAAAAACAGGCGTGACGTGGCGTGTGACGCGCTCGGCCACCCCCAAGACCCCATCCCGTGTTTGTGGCGCTAGAGAGAACCACGAAAACACGCCGTGCCTCAGTTTCCCCAAACTTCAACATTTCCTTCTAGAACCCAAACGACACGCTAAAAACACGCGTGACGGGTCCCATGTTCCGTGTTCCATGTTCAGAACGCCATGAGCGCCCCATCCCGTGTTTCCCGTGTTGGAGTCCATGTGAAAAACATGCCGTGCCTCAGTTTCCCNTGTTCCGTGTTCCATGTTCAGAACGCCATGAGCGCCCCATCCCGTGTTTCCCGTGTTGGAGTCCATGTGAAAAACATGCCGTGCCTCAGTTTCCCCAAACTTCAACATTTCCTTCTAGAACCGAAAGTTCATGGTACGAACATGCTAAAAACATGCGTGGCGTCACATGTCACGTGTTCTGAACATTACCACCCCGTCCCATGTTTCTGGTGCTACAGACCACGGCAAAAAACACGCCGTGCCTCAGTTTCCCCAAACGTCAACTTTTCCTTCTAGAACCGAAAGTTCATGGTTCGAACACGCCAAAAACACGCGTGACGTGTCGTGTGACGCCTTCAGCCACCCCCAGACCCGATCCCGTGTTTGTGGCGCTAGAGAGAACCACGAGAACGCACCGTGCCTCAGTTTCCCCAAACGTCAACATTTCCCTATAGAACCGAAATTTCACTTTTCGAACACGCTAAAAACACGCGTGACGGGTCCCGTGTTCCATGTTCAGAACACCATGAGCACCCCATCCCGTGTTTCCCGTGTTACAAACCCCCGGAAAAACATACTGCGCCTCAGTTTACCAAATATTCAATATTTGGCTATAGAACCGAAACATCACGCTAAAAACATGCTAAAAACACACGTGACGTGGCGTGTGACGCATTCGGCCAGCTCGCAAACCCGATCCCGTGTTTGTGGCGCTGCGGAGAACCACGAAACCGCGCCGTGCCTCAGTTTCCCCAAACATCAACATTTCCTTATAGAACCAAAATATCACCATTCGAACACGCTAAAAACACGCGTGACGTGGCGTGTGACGCGTTCACCCACCCCCCAGACCCCATCCCGTGTTTGCGGCGCTACGGAGAACCACAAAAACGCACCGTGCCTCAGTTTCCCCAAACATCAACATTTCCTTATAGAACCGAAATTTCACTTTTCGAACACGCTAAGCACACGCGTGTTCTCCGTGTCCCCCCTCGCAGGCTGCACATCGGCAAGGGCGTGCAGCTGGAGTGCAAAGGCGAGGGCGACGTGTGGGTGCGGTGCCTGAGCGACCACGCCGTCTTCGTGCAGAGTTATTACCTGGACCGCGAGGCGGGCCGGGCGCCCGGCGACGCCGTGCACAAGATCTACCCCAGCGCCTACATCAAGGTGGGCTGCGTTAATTAATCCATTAATTAATTAATTAATTGATTGATTGATTGATCGGTTAATGGATACGTCGATTTGTTGGTGGATCGGTTGGTTGGGATGGGTAACAATGGAGGGGAGGGGGGTGAGGGTTTGTTGGTTAATTGGTTAATTAATTGGTTAATTGGCTCTACCCCAGTGCCTACATCAAGGTGGGCTGCGCTAATTAATCCATTAATTAATTAATTAATTGATTAATCGATTGATCGGTTAATGGATGCGTCGATTCATTGGAGGATCGGTTGGTTGGGATGGGTAACAATGGGGGGGAGGGTGAGGGTTTGTTGGTTAATTAGTTAATTAATTGGTTAATTGGCTCTACCCCAGCGCCTACATCAAGGTGGGCTGCGCTAATTAATCCATTAA